GCCTGGGGCACGGCGGCCCTTCTGGGAAGCAGCAAGACAACAGCCTGTTCCTGATGCGAGGCCCTGCCCACCACAGCGCTGTCCTGCGAGTCTGTTCCATCAGCTCTCTATGGTTCCGGTCAGGCTGATGCGCCACTATGCTCATTCCACCATTACTCACTTTCCTCTCCTCTGTGTAGGGTGACCAGACAGCAAGTGTGAAAAAGCGGGACATGGGCTGGGGGGGTAATAGGAGCCTATATCAGAAAAAGACCCCCAAATCCGGACATCTGGTCACCCTACCTCTGTGGTTACCGGAACTATAGACTAGAGGAGAAAGCGAGGGCCAGAAGGGCTCGGATGAGTCTGATCCCTCAATCACTTCCGCTGCTCGGCCTGTTTCCACTAGAAGGGCTCAGACAAGTGCCTCCGCCCTCTCTATAGGTCGCTTCACAGCCCTGTCATTTCGCTGACGTGCCTCCGTTTCGCCATATCCTTCCGCCCAGGCAGTGACTGCGAGCCGGACCCGAGCTTGGCAGCTTTCTCAGCCGGCGGTGGGGGGTTTGAGAGCGGAAGCAGCCGCGGCTGAGTTTCCGGCCGGAAGTGAGATCTGGGGCGGGTTCTGGGGGCGCTGGGCCGGAAGGCGCCGAGCACCTGGGGGCGCGATGTCTGCCAGTGCCGTATACGTGCTGGACCTGAAGGGCAAGGTGAGGAGTTGGAGGGACGGGGCCTTGGGCTAAACTGTGGGGAACCCCTCCTGAGAGAGGCGGGTGGCTCTCCTGGAGCTCGGCCTGAGCCTATGGAGCGGCCCCGGTCTGGGAATGGGCTCAGCTTCCTCATAGTCTGAGGAAACATGGGAGTAGAGGGGGCCGAACGGTTCTGGAGCGGGAGGGGATCTCTCTAATCTCTCCCCAGCCTTCCCCTATTTCCTCACCTCAGAGCTGTCCTAGGGTAATATTCCCTCTCTAGCTTGCTCTGGGTGCCCCCCTGTCTGTCCTGGGGCCCTAGGATGGGGATTCCACCCTCCCCCAATTTCCTCTAGCCTGCCGTGGGGCCTCAGGTTGTGGTTACATCGTGCCGATAATGCTGCCTTGGGTTAAACTAGAAGCTTTATTTGGGCTAAACCTTGTCGGTGCTTGGATGGATGACCAGTGACCGTCCAGCTGCAATGTTGCAGGAAATGCTGATTTTTAGTAGAGCGCTCTCTTCCTCCTCCATTTTCCCCTTCTGGACCCTTTTCTCCTAGTTTTTAGTGAATGAAAGCTCATGCAATTTAAGGGGCACTCAGCTGCTGAAGGGTCTGATTTTGGGGTAAGTGAAATTAAGATATTAACTGCTTATGGCAATTAAAAGATACCAAGATACTTTAACAAATGTTATTAGCATGCTAACTCTGGTTTCTTGACCATATTCCATTTTGGGGTAATTACATTCTGCATATCCAAATTCCTTCTGTGATTTTGTTCTGTAAGCAATATATTTTCTGTCTCTGATGTTGGTATGTGCTATTTAACAGCTGCTGTCATTCTAAAAGCTGTATTTGAGTTGTGAATGAAAGAGTCCCATGTACAGTTTGGAATTGAGTTAGTTAAGCAGTTTGGGATGCCACTGCATAAGTGTAAAGTACTGAACTGTTAAAATGTAAGTAAAATTTTACTTTATGTTGAAATTTGTCTTGTATCTTTTAATGTAACTTAAAAGTACTTCCCAAGGATCATACGTGTTGTTTTCAGATGGTAACGTCAGCATTTGTTTTTAAAACCTATTCAGATTTCTTTGTATGTATATTGCAGGTCCTCATCTGCCGGAATTACCGTGGAGATGTGGATATGTCTGAGGTGGAGCATTTCATGCCAATTCTTATGGAAAAGGAAGAAGAGGGAATGCTTTCTCCCATTCTAGCTCATGGAGGAGTTCGTTTTATGTGGATTAAACACAATAATTTATATCGTATCCTTTAAAGCAGCGGTCTCCAACCTTTTTATGCCCCAAATCACTTTTTGAATGTAAGGGAAACCCAGGATCTACTCCCCTCCCCCCCCCCCTTCCCGGTCGCTTGCTCTCCCCCCCTTCACTCACTTTCACTGGGCTGGGGTAGGGGGTTGGGGTTCATGAGGGGGTGCGGACTCTGGGCTGGAGCTGAGGGGATTCTAGTGTGGGAGGGGGCTCTGGGCTCACCCTGGGGCAGGGGATTGGGGGGGGGAAGGAGGGGGTGCGGGCTCTGGGAGGGAGTTTGGGTGCAGGAGGGGGCTCCAGGCTGGAGCAGTGTGTTGGGGTGCAGGAGAGGGTATAGGGTGCTGGCTCTGGGAGGAGGCTCGGGCTGGCACTTGGGGTGCAGGAGCGGATATGGGGTGCTAGGTCCGGGAGGGGACTCAGGGCTGGGGGTTGGTGTGCAGCCTCCCGCTGAGCAGCCCTTACCTCCAGCAGCTTCTGGTTGGTGGCTGGCGTTAAGGCAGGCTCCCTGCCTACCCTGGCCCCATGCCGCTCCCGGAAGGGGCCAGCGCACCCCCATGCACCGGGGGCAAGGACACATGGTTCTGTGCACTGCCCCTCTCTGCAAGCACTGCCCCTGCAACTCCTGTTGGCCACAGGTCTCAGTTCCCAGCCAGTCGGAGCTGTGGGGGTGGTGCTTGCAGGCAGGAGCAGCATGGAGAGGGAGACCCTTGCCCATGGGGCTGCACTGGCCACTTCCAGGAGCAGCATGGGGTTGGGGCAGGCAGGGAGCCTGCCTTAGCGGCAGCCCCACTACACCACCGGAGAGCGCAATCGACCAGGAGATCCTCTAGGATCGACCGGTTGGTGACCATTGCTTTAAAGTGTAAACCTATTAATATAGTGAAACTGATGAGCACGTTGGTGGATTTTCACAATTTGGGCTTGAATGAAATAGGGATGTAAATAACATGTAAAAACAGTAACCGTGTAACCGATTACAATTCTATTGGTTAGACGGTTAAACGTTTAACCGGGAAACTAGCGGTGCAGCACCCCCATGTTTTAGGTGGGGGGCCCCCCGCAGCCGGCCCCATGGCCAGCATCCGGGCGTGGGGCCAGCCACCAGGACCCTGGCAGAGTTTAATTGTTAACAGAAACTGATAAGCATCAAGCTTATCAGTTAACCGGTTGAACTTTTACATCCCTAGAATGGAAGTGACATGAAAACATAAGGGAATAAGTAACATAAGCTCACAAGAATGATTTTACTGATTGAGATTTACAAAGATGCAAAAAAAATGTATATACATAAAAAAGGTGTTATTCTTTTCATGTCAGACCCTGTGCTAATAATTTGTACGAGAGTGTTTAAGTGCCAATTTAATATAAGCATTTCCTGAATCTTTATTTTTGGTCTTTACCTGCTGTGACAGGTTCGGTCACAGAGACCCCCTTGGGGCTGCCACCTGATATGCTGAGACTACCTCTGAGCCCGTTTTCCCTGGCAGCTTGGAACTTCAGTACACTGTCTTGTTGAGCCAGACACGCTAGCCTGCTGCAAACACAGACCCAGGTCTGAACTACATTCCCCCAAAGCTGCAGGCTTAACTGAAAACCGCTTAAGAAGTGCTCCTGTCTCTAGCACCCAGATACCCAGTTCCCAATGGGATGCAAACCCCAAATAAATCCGTTTTACTCTGTATAAACTCATAAATTGTTCGCCTTCTATAACACTGATAGAGAGAGATGCACAGCTGTTTGCTCCCCCAAAATTAATTATTTGCTCTGGGTTAATTAATAAGTAAAAAGTGATTTTATTTAATATAAAAAGTAGGATTTAAGTGGTTCCAAGTCATAACAGACAGAACAAAGTAAATTACCAACTAAAATAAACAAATCATGCAAGTCTAAACCTAAGACAATAGGAAACTAAATGGAGGTAAATCTCACCCTCAGAGATGTTCCAATAAGTTTCTTGGGGGGAGGGATAGCTCAGTGGTTTGAGCATTGGCCTGCTAAACCCAGGGTTGTGAGTTCAGCCCTTGAGGGGGCCACTTAAGGATCTGGGGCAAAATCAGTACTTGGTCCTGCTAGTGAAGGCAGGGGCCTGGACTCAATATCCTTTTGAGGTCCCTTCCAGTTCTAGGAGATAGGATATCTTCATATTATTATTTTTTTGACAGACTAGACTCCTTCCTAGTCTGGGTCCAGCAATCACTCTCACCCCCGTAGTTACTGTCGTTTGTTCCAGTTTCTTTCAGGCATCTTTTGGGGTGGAGAGGCTATCTCTTGAGCCAGCTGAAGATAAAATGGAGAGGTTTCCAGGGCCTTATGGGTAGAAACCCCTTTGTGGCTGGAAACCCATTTGTTCTCCTGTGTAAAATCCCCTCAACAAGATGGAGTTTGCAGTCACCTGGGCAAGTCATGTCCATGAACAATTCAGCTTTTTGCAGGCCGACGCCATTGTTTACATGTTAGTTTGAATGTTCCCAGGAAAGGTCAGATATGGATTGGCATCTTCCAAAGTCCATTGTCAGTTAAGTGTTTATTTGGCAATTACTGAGAATAGTCCTTTCTCAAGAATGCTTCACTGAGGCTACTTAGAATCAAAAAAGTACATAGGCAATATTCATAACTTCGAATACAAAAATGATACACACATACAGACAGCATGATTATAACCAGCAAACTACAGCCTTCCCATAGACACCCACTTGGCTTCCTCTTTACAAGACCTGGTGCAACCATAGGACCCTGGCTGCAACAATGATCTATATGGTCACAGTTTGTCAATAACATCACACCTCCCAATAGTTAAACAATCAGAAATGACAAAACAAAGCCAAGGATTCTCAGTATCGAACGACTCAGGAAAGAGGAATGTTATTGCTGCTTCCTTAATGTTTGGGCCAGCTGTAATAACATAGTAAAAGGGTTTTGAAAATGTATTTAATGATACATATTTTTTAAAATGGTAACTTTAAACACCGGTTCCTGAACATACTTTTTCAGTTGTTGCTACTTCTAAGAAGAATGCTTGTGTGTCTCTGGTGTTTTCGTTTCTTTACAAGGTGGTTCAGGTGAGTATGAAATTGGTCAAGTAATCTTTGTTCAGATAACTCAACAAATCTTTTAATTTTATAGTGCTGTGCAGAAATGGCATATCTAGTTTATATGGTGGTTATGTTAAGATCTTTCTGTGTTAGCCACTAATATTTATTTTGTGTTGTACAGGACAAAGATACTGACAGAATCTTACAATATAAGAGAAAGAGATAAAATGTGAAAGTCAAAGGAGAGGCAACTTCACTGAATTTTTGTGTGCTTTGTGGGCATTGTGGAAGAATCAATTTTTAGGAGGTATTTGAGTAATATGGTGACTTGATGAGCTGGACTAGGGAGCCTATACTGCAGTTAAGAGTCAGGAAAAGAAAAAAGAAACAAACAGGCCTTGTATTCTAGAGTGTAGGGAGCCAAAGTTCAGCAGACAAAACAATGTCTGAAATGTTGTCTGTAGGTAGCTGTGTGTAAGGCCATGAGATTGGGGATGAGAATTTTAAGCTCAGTGCAGCATGCAGATAAATGCCAGTGGAGAGATTCAAAGATCTGGGTGTTGTGCTCAGGTTGACAGGCAAGGAAGATCGCTTTTCAGCAAGGTATTCTCCAAAGCACTGGTTTTCAACCAGGGGTATGTGTACCCTTGGGGGTATGCAGAGCTCTTCTAGGAATTACATCAATTCATCTAGATATTTGCCTTATTTTACAACAAGCTACATGAAAAAGCACTAGCAACGTCTGTATATAATTATATGGTAAAAATGAGAGAGCCATTTTTCAGTAATAGTGTTCTGTACATTTTTTTTTATTTTTATGTCTGATTTTGTAAGCAAGTAGTTTTTAAGTTAGGTGAAATTTGGGGGTATGCAAGACAAATATGACTCCTGAATGGGGTATAGTAGTCTGGAAAGGTTGCGAGTCACTGCTCCGAAGCATATATTTGGGAAGAAAACTGTTTTTGTTTTTGTTTTTTTCTTTAGTGATGTTCTTAGTATGTGACTGCTGGAAGGGATTACTTTTCTAGGATAAGGCAGAGCTTGGAGGTGCTTAATGGATGCTGTGTGGTACATTACAACCTCTGTGGTTAATGTTTTTTTTCCCCTTAACCAGGGTGACAGATATGCTTCCTGGATGGAATATTTATAGGCAGGCATATTCCACGTACACTGTAGTTTGTTTTGATTTTCAATGGCCACAACCCTAATTTGCCATATAAAATACTGGCTGTGTTCATGCGTTTTTGTTAGTAGCATGTGTATAAAGCTCCAGCTAGTTTAAAAAAAAAAAAGGGCTGGGGGAAGGAGGTGGCTATTAAATGGACATTGGAGGAAAGCACTTCTGTTTGGTGGGCAGGTTTTAAAAATAGGCATTTGGGGCCCAGTCCACTCTGAGCTGGAGCAATGTGTTTTAGCCAAAGATTACAGATATGCATAAATGTAAGGAACTGCTTGAAAGAAGAGAAGCTGAGACTGAGTTGGTTTAGATTTCCAGTGCATAGGTTTTGAGGCTAAGCCCAGTGTTTATTTCAATAACTGTTATATCCCCACACACAAAAATGTTAAAATAGTACTGGGGAAGGGTGTGTGTGTGTGTGTGTGTGTGTGCGCGTGTCACACACTTCATAGCTTTTGTAGCTTGAGTATATTGCATACACCAGGGGCTCCTTGCAATCCTCCATTCCCCTCACAAGATCTCTCGGTGTCACCCTCCCATCCCCCTCTTTTTTCAGGGGCTCCCTGCAATTCCAGCCAGTCTCTTCTCTGCCAGGGTCTCCATGTGCCCCCCTTTTCTTTCCTCTCATACCAGGGTTCCCCCCATACCATCAGCTCTGTGCACACCCCCATTCCCCTCTATGGCCTGGGCTCTTTGTGACCCATTTCCCCCCCCCCCCCACTGCCAGGGGCTCTGTGCACCCATATTCCTCCTTCTCCCCCATACCAGGATGCTCCAATCTCCCTCCCCTCCCCCGTACACACACACACCAGGTGTTCTGTGTGCCTCATTCCTCCCTCCATGCATTTTAACATCCCTCATTTTCCTCCATTGCAGGTGTTCTATGCTCCCTTCCCCATAGTAGGATCCCCCTTTTTCCCCCATAGCAAGGGGCTCTGTGTGAACACTCATTACCACCTCCCCCCCATCCAAGGGCTTTGTAAGCCTGCCTTTATCCTTCCCTGTCTTCATACCAGGCAGGGTCCCTCAATCTCCTCCCCCCATACTGAGGGTTCTGTGTACCACATTCCCTCCTCCCCATACCAGGGTCCCCCCATTCTCTCTTCACATTCCAATGGCTGTGTGCAGTCTCCCCATTCCCCTCATGCCTCCCATTCTCCTTTCTCATGCCAGTATTTTTTTTTTTGTGAGAAGGAGAGAGAGAAGCCATTCAACATGTTAAGCTACTGGGAGTATACAGTTTTGTAGCTGCGCTGGTCCCAGGATATTAGAAAGACCAGGTGGGTGAGGTAGTATCTTTTATTGGACAAATTACTGTGGTGAGAGAGACGCTTTCAAGCTTAAACAAAGCTCTTCTTACCAACAGAAGTTGGTCCTAGGGATGTAAAATGTTTACTGGTTAACCGATAAGCATTAGTCTTACTGGTTAACCCACCTTAACGGTTAACCCTCCGGCCAGAGCGGCCCCAGCAGCCCTGTGCCGCCCAGCCAGAGTGGCCCCAGTGGCCCCCGTTTAAATAGTTGAACTTGAATCGTTTAAACAGTTAACTTTTTAAACAATATTTACATCCATAGTTGGTCCCATAAAAAAAATCTCACTCACCTTGTCTCTCTACTGGGAGTATAAGCAGAGATGAGTAGGAGTACCTTTGTGTGTGAAGGTGTTGATGGTGCCATCAATGAATTCTTTGCAATTGTCTATAGTTCAGAGGTGCTAAAGAGCTGATGGGGCTGTATTTGTCCCCCATTTTCCCTTTTTTGGGTTCTGACCATTGGTACCGAGAACATTCCCTGAAATTTTGAAATTGATTGGATGTGGTGGTCAAAAGTTATTGTTACATACAGAAATGACATTGAATGGAGTATAAAGCCTTTGCGAGCTTGGCCAATTATAGTTGTAAAATAAAGAAATTCGTTCTAATTTATAGTTTGAAAAAAATGAAACACTTGAAAGTCAGGAAACTTGGATTTTAAAGTTCAACAAAATACTTTAATTCTCTACTATAGCTCACCAAAATTCTTATTTTTTTTTGTATTTTCAGAAATGGAGGCTTGGAAGTAATGTGAACTAAACTTACTTTAATTTGAGACTTCAGTGTTTTCTAACCTTAACATTTCAGGTATTTTCAGAATATTTCAAGGAGTTGGAAGAAGAGAGCATTCGAGATAACTTTGTTATAATTTATGAATTGCTTGATGAGCTCATGGATTTTGGCTATCCTCAAACCACTGATAGTAAAATTTTACAAGAGTAAGTATCAGTGTACTGGCTCTTACATAAGCCCAGTATCATATCTATCAACAGTGGCCAATGCCAGGTGCCCCAGCGGGAGTGAACCTAACAGGTAATGATCAAGTGATCTCTCTCCTGCCATCCATCTCCACCCTCTGACAAACAGAGGCTAAGGACACCATTCCTTATCCATCCTGGCTAATAGCCATTAATGGACTTAACCTCTATGGATTTATCTAGTTCTCTTTTAAACCCTGTTATAGTCCTAGCCTTCACAACCTCCTCAGGCAAGGAGTTCCACAAGTTGACTGTGTGCTGTGTGAAGAAGAACTTCTTTATTTGTTTTAAACCTGCTGCCTATTAATTTCATTTGGTGGCCCCTAGTTCTTATATTATGGGAACAAGTAAATAACTTTTCCTTATTCACTTTCTCCACACCACTCATGATTTTATATACCTCTATCATATCCCCCCTTAGTCTCCTCTTTTCCAAACTGAAAAGTCCTAGCCTCTTTAATCTCTCCTCATATGGGACCCATTCCAAACCCTTAATCATTTTAGTTGCCCCTTTTCTGAACCTTTTCTAGTGCCGGTATATCTTTTTTGAGATGAGGAGACCACATCTGTACGCAGTATTCGCGATGAGGGCGTACCATTGATTTATATAAGGGCAATAATATATTCTCTATCTTATTCTCTATCCCCCTTTTTTTTTCTTCTTAAATACCAGGTGATAGATGCCTTGGGAATATTTGAGCATAAAGATGTTAACTTGTATGACTTAAGGTTTTACTAAAGTTATTACAATGTGGGGTCAATTTGTAGGTTTTCCTTTCTTTTATCATCCTGAAAAAAAAAATCAATAGGACACTTCTGTCAAAAATCTGTTAACCTTTTCCTATCTTTGTTGATGGACTGATACAGTTTCCTATCAGGTACATAAACACATGATCTGACTTGACCTGGCATGAAAAGATTAGTTAATTCAAATTAAATCCTAGAAAATATTATCAGACTTCCTTTGTTTTCTGCTGACATAATAATATTTGTGACACTAAACAAATTGCTAAGCTTACAGAACGTAACTTTCATATTTTTAAAAAACTTGTGGTTCTGAAGGTATATCACTCAAGAAGGCCACAAACTGGAAACTGGAGCTCCACGCCCACCTGCCACTGTTACCAATGCTGTTTCCTGGAGGTCAGAAGGGATAAAGTATAGGAAAAATGAAGTGTTTCTGGACGTTATAGAATCTGTTAACCTCTTGGTGGGTTTATATTTTACTTTATCTTTCTTTTTTAGTGAGAGTTGTAATAATCTGTAAATATGCAAACACAAAATGAAAGCAGAAGTCAGTGTATGAATAGTCTTAATTAGTCTATCAAATTATAGTATTACATTTGAAATAATTTACATGTCACCAGATTGAGTGATTGATAATGGTAGTAACTTAAGCTATTATAAATAATACTCGTGTACCTGCATTTATATTATGCTGCTTAATAGATTTTTTTCAGCCGTCAGGGAGCTTCTTTTCCATGCTAAACTTGAAAAACAAAAGGACTCCTTGTATTCCTGCCTAATCCTCACACTCTGAATAAAACAAACTCTATGCTACTCTAATGGAATGATTCCCAAGGATATATGCAGTAGTGTTGTAGCTCTGATGGTCCCATGATATTAGAGTGACAAGGGGGGTTGAGGTAATATCTTTTATTGGACCAACTTCTGTTGGTGAGAGAGACAAGCTTTTGAGCTACATAAGAGTTTTTTCAGTTCTGGGAAAGGTACTCTGAGTGTCACAGCTTGTCTTTTGAAAGTGTTGTGCATGTTTCCTTTGAGGGTGAGCACTGATAAGTTAGATATAGAGTGATCGCTTTGTGAAAAGTGTACACCCACAAGAGATAGGGTGTTTTTGTTTTTTATCATTTTACTGTGGGAGTTTATTTGAGAGCATAGTGATTGTCTGGTTCACCCAGTTAGTTGTTGGAAACATTTAGTCCACTGGATGAGACATACCACATATGGTTCTAGGCATGTGTAGGATCCATGGATCTTGAAAGGTGTATTGTAAGGGGTGTTGCTATATCTCCACTGCTACAATGATCCACAGGTTTTGCACCTGTTGTTCTGGCAGGGTCTGGTGCCACTTTGAGTAGGTGTGTCCTGGTCTGTGGGGAGCTTGCCTCTGACAATGATCTTGGAGAGGTTAGGGGGTTGTTTAAAGTGATCTGACATTCCTTTTTTTAAAGGGACAGTTCCATAGTTAAGCCCTCCTGCAAGTGTCCTGACTTTTTCTTAAAAACGGACAAATTGTCCGTATTTTCTGTTTTTCTGTCTCTTCCTCTTCTCCCCCCCCCCCCCCAATCAGCTCTCGCTGTCCTTTCCCTGCTTTGCCCCTTCACCCTCTCTCCCCTCCCCCTCTCCTCCATATTTCTCCCTCCCCCGCAGGACATGTCCCGCTCCCAGCGCTGTGCAGAGAACCAGCCCCTGGTCGGAGCATTCAGTTCACCAACAGCCTGGCCAGCAGGCTCCTTCCTTCCCCCATTGCCTCTGGCTGGGTTGGTGCCCCAGGAAAGTGCAAGACCCTCCAGCCCAGGGCACTAGCCAGAAGGAACCAAGTCCTACATGTGCCAAAGCCCCCACAGCGCTGGCATGGGGCAGCCTTTCCACCCCTCAGCTAAGCTCTGGAGTAGCAGCGGGGGAGGAGAGAGCGATTTCGAGCCTGTTCCCGGGCAGGGGCTTAGCAACCTCTTCATAATTTCCTTCTCCCCACTATATCTTCCCCCAGGGAGCCCAGGGCTACTCCATCCCCTAGGCACCCTCCCCTGCTGAGCCACCTCTCTGGCCCGGTTTGCTGAAGCCCCTGCAGTCAGGTTCTCTGGGCCCTGGTGCACAATGCCTCCGGAGGGCTTAACCCCTTCCTGCCCATGCTGTAGCTGGGGAACAGGAGGCAGCTGGGTTATGTCGATGGCCAGCAGAAGCCTGGAGGTGTTAGCTGTCTTTCGACACTGTGAGGGCAGGAAGGGACAAGCTGCTTCCAGCCATAGGGGAGCGGGCGGGGTGGGAGGGGAGGAAAGAGATGAGCTTCTCAAAGACATGGGCCAGGTCATCCCTCCTCCTCTGTGGCTGGAAGCCGCTCCCGTCCCTTCCTTTCTGCACAGTGCCGAAAGGCTGCTGCTAGCCACATTCTGGTGTGAACCCTGGCAGAAATCTGGGGACGGGGGGCATGCGATCCTGCGTTTTACACACACAGACATCACGTCTTACCTCGAGAAGACGCGGCGCCAGGTACCAGGAGAGGCGGGTCCGTCCTGGAGGCTCAGCCAGGCATGGGGGGCAGAGAGCGCCGAGTAGGGAGGGTTAGTTGATCAGTCACCTGCCCCATGTGAGAGAGGTGTATGGGAGTGTGTGTGTAGGAACTCTCCCCGTGTGAACACTAAATAAAAATAATCCAACTACGCAATATTTATTTTTAACAAAGGCTCAGTCAACTTGATGTTAGTTTGAACATTTGAACTGCATAGTTCTGATTGATTGCTGTTGAACTTGCTTGAACACTAGTAATTTTACGAAGTGTCCCATATTCAGCATGGGGAAATATGGTCACCCTAGTGTTGTCTGAAGGCCAGAAGTGGGAGTTCAAGAACAGCCTGTTTCAGGATGGAGTCCCCATCGAGTATGGGTTGTATTGTTTCATGATACCCCATATGGCTTCCAGTAGAATGGTAGGTGACAACTTGGGCTGTGGAGTCAAAGGGGGTTTTACTTCTGTATTGAAGCAAATTCTCTCATGGTATTTGGGAGGCCAGTTCCATGATGTGATCTATTTCTCTGATGGAGTGTCCTTGTTTGGTGAATGCAGTTTTGAGTGTGTTAAGGTGTATATCCCGGACTCTCTCTTTAGATATTCTGTGGTATCTGAGGGCCTGGCTGAAGATAACAGATTTCTTGTTGTGTTTTGAAGTGGTTACTAGATCTACCACACCTACCTTCATAGATCCAGCCAGTACTTAAAGAAACAATTTCTCAATTGGTGCCTTCCTTGTAAGGTTGATGAACTTAAATGCTGTAATTTCAAAATTAGGGCTGTTGATTAATCGCAGTTAACTCATGTGAGCAACGCAAAAAAATTAATCGCAGTCTTAATCACACTGTTAAACAATAGAATAGCAATTGAAATTTATTAAATATTTGGATGTTTTTCTACATTTTCATATATATTGTATTCTGTGCTGTACAGTAATTGAAATCAAAGGTATATTTTTTTATTATAAATATTTGCACTGTAAAAATGACAAACAAAAGAAATAGTATTTTTCAGTTCATCTCATACAATTACTGTAGTGCAATCTCTTTGTTGTGAAAGTGCAATTTACAAATGTAGATTTGTTTTGTTACATAACTGCACTCAAAAACAAAACAATGTAAAACTTCAGAGCCTACAAGTCCACTCAGTCCTACTTCTTGTTCAGCTAATCGCTCAGACAAACAAGTTTGTTTACATTTACAGGAGATAATGCTGCCCTCTTCTTCTTTACAATATCACCAGAAAGTGAGAACAGGCATTTGCATGGCACTTTTGTAGCCAGCATTGCAAGGTATTTACATGCCAGATATGCTAAACATTTGAATGCCCCTTCATGCTTCAGCCACCATTCCAGATGACATGCTTCCATGCTGATGATGCTCATTTAA